TAATAAAATTAATTAATTAAAAGAAAGTATACAGGCAGTAAAAACTACAGCCAACTTTTAATGACATCTAAAAAATAACCATGCTTCAGCCTCTATTTGTTATGCTCAAGATTAATAAGAATTTGAACCTAAAAAACAAAAAAAATTAACAAAACTGCATGACTTCATACTAATAATAAGTACTTGGTCAGTCAAAATAATTAGCAACAAAAAATTAATAAGAGGTCATAGACAGATTATCATATCAAAACTCTGAATCATCATAAGGAGTTAAGCATGTTACAAGAATATTACTTGACCATGTTTTCCTTTATCTTATAAAACAAGATCAAAATATTAAAAAAAAAAGAAGAAGCATATATATATTATATATATATATATATATATATATTAGCTGCTGATTCAAAACACATAAAGGTCAGCCAATTCTTCCAAGGAATCCAAAATGAGATTTGGATCTGAATTCTCAAGCATCCATAAAAGATGGTCAAACACAACTACCTCACATTTCACCAATATGTCTTCCCCTCCATGCTTCTGTTTCGACTCTCGATCAACGCATTCAACAAGGATGGTTAAGGTACTTGGAACTAACCACATAACGTTTCCTGGTACTCCCAACATAAATTGTTTCCCAATGTTGATTATCTTCTCTCATTTTATCCCATAGTTGATGATCTTCCCTAACCGATTTCGACCTTAGGCTGCTATATGAAGATGATCGTCCTAGTTGTCTCGAAAAGCTTTTGCATTTCTAAGTATGAGATTGATCTTCTTCATTGGATCTTTTGTTTGTTTTTTGTTTTTTTTTTTTTTTTTTTTGAAGAAAAATCAAGTTTAGGGATAAGAGAGAGATGATGAAGCGAATTGGAAGCAAAAGGAGACTTGATTTCCACTCAGGAAGAAAAGAATAGGTTACTTTAAGGGCTGGGGGGAGGATGGATTGGTGGGTGCAAAGTCATTGTATTTGGGCCGGTGCTACAAAAAATGTGGGTCCAACTTTAGCAACCAAACATTTTAAATTTAGTGATACGAAGGAGTCATCTTTTCAATGAATTGGAGGTAATGGAGGGCAGCTTTTACACTCACAAAAAGACACTATACTCAATTAGCTTTCTGCTCACAAATTTTGTGTACGGGTAATTATTAAATATCATGGGTTTTTTTTTTTGTAGCTGGAAAATTAATGGAAGAAAATATGAAAATATAGAAAGTCCTACGTGAGGGCACATTTTGTTTTTGGAATCAAAGTAAAATTTATCATGGCTCAATATTGAATTTTGTCAAATATTTTAATATTTCATTAAATTTTGCTATTATACTTTTAATTTAATTGATTTTTAAATAAAAAGTAATAATTTGAAATTTTCATTAATGCAAGTGAATGACATTATTCAATTTCCCCATTATATATATAATATTCTATATATTAATTTTATGAAATTTGACTTTACTTAACACTTGCCACATGGCAAAGCATCCATTTTTTTTTTATTTAGTTATTTACTTTTTGCAAAATTTGACTTTGCTTAGGAATAGCATCATGACAATTCATCTATTTTTTATTTAATTTTTTTCTTTTTATATCTAACAAATATTTTCTTTATATTTAATAATCTTTTGTGTGGGACTCATTTGTTATTATTGATGAAAAAGTATTTTTACTTTTCTTATCTTATCTTTTTTAATTAGATAATTTTGTAAAAAATTATATTAATAGAGATATCAAAATAGCATATGAATTTGGCTTTTTCAACCTTTTTTTAGTTTTTATTTTCTTTTTTTTTAATCTATAATATAAATTTTGCAAAAAAAAAAAAAACTCATAATTTCAATGTGTAAGAACTCCAATTTCTTTTTTTTTTTTTTGCTGCTTTTTGACTTTTTTTAGTTTTTTAATTAGATAAATTTTGTGAAAAAAAGAAAGCCAACAGAGGTGTTTACGTGGCATCCTATTTTTTTTATTTTTAATTAGATAAATTTTTAAAAAAATTAATTGGTAAATCTATTTTATAAAAAAAATAAAAAGATATATAACAAAACAATCCATATCTAATAGATTTTGATTCATTTAGCAATCTAATATGTGCATTTTTAAATGGGTTTGAATCAAAATTTTTTGGAAATTGGGGTTGGATTAGAATCTTATATATAAATTTTACACATTGTAACTTTTATTTGACCATAATTCAAGGTGTTTATGTGGCACCGTTATGTTTTCTTCTTTTTTTTTTAGCTTTTTGTTTTTCTTTTGTTCTTTTACTTTTTCTCAACTTGTTTCGGTTTTTTAAAATTTTTTAAATTAGATAAAATTTGTGAAAAATAGCAATAAAAGATATCCACGTTGTACCCTAATTTATTTTTTTCCTTTCATATTTTTTAAAATTTTTTTCAATTAGATAAATTTTATAACAAATAAATTGATAAATAAAGATAACAAAATAATTCGTATCTAATGAACTTTCAATATGACATAATCTTGTATGGTGGTGAATTTTAAAAAATCGGATCGAGTTAAGATAAAGTAGGTTTTGATAAGAGAAATAAAGTCAAGTTTATGGCAGGTTGATTGTGTTTTATCCTAACTCAACTCTAAGAATATATATATAAAAACTATATGTATTTTACTATTGCACATTTTGGCCTCATATGTTGTCTCCTTTAATTCATATTTTTTTTCATTTTTCCATTCTCTTTTTATATATTTTTTCTCTTTTTATCTTTTTTCTTCTCACCATAATTTAACAAATATTTTTTTTAGATTTTAGGGTGGGACCCATTTGGTATTATTAATTAAAATTTTTTTTATTATTATTAGATAATTTTATGAAAAAAAAAAAAACCAAATGAAGTATTCACATGGCACTCGATTTGTTCTTTTTTTGTCATTTTCTTTTTACTTTTGATTTCTTTTTGCCATTTTCTTTTCT